AAAACTTTAGAAAAAACGTACATTGCATTGTTGGAAGTTGCAGACTTACATTTCCATGTTTCACACGCCACATAGTTTGGCTGTGCAGCTTACTGTCGCCCTCTGGTGGTTTTCAAGCCTTATGACAGATCCAGTCTTAAACCATGCCCTAATATTTACACCACTTCACTGTCTATAGGACCATGTAAAAACACCCCTGACCCTTGTCTTATCACCAATGTCTTTAGGGTCCTCAAGGTCCTCCTGGAAATAGTGGCCCATCTGGGCCTCCTGGACCCCCGGTTAGTATCTGAATGTGATAACAAGTCATCTGAATGTTGGAGTTTCCTCACTGAAAACGCAACATAGTAACGAAGCACAAGGCTGAATAATGGATAATCAATTTCACATATAAAATTTGTCTCGGTTCACACAAACAACATGACTTAGCTCTGAAATTTGAATCCTGTTTGCTTTATTAATGTACGTGTCTATTTTAAATGTATCTCTAGGGGTTACCTGGAGAAATTGGGTTTCCTGGGAAGCTGGGAGAGCCAGGCAAACCTGTAAGTGATGTGCTGTGACAGATGACATTTCCATGTGTACTGCAGCTCTAGGTGGCACCGATTAGCTGTCAAACATACGTACCTTTCAATGAGACCTTAATGTTTCTGCTACAATCACAGCTTGCATGGCAGTTCATTAAACTTGGTCTTAAATCTAGGGTTTGCCTGGTAAAGACGGCCTGGATGGATTCCCAGGATCTGATGGGGTGAAGGTTAGTATTGTCCATAATGTTGTCAATAGGATGATGTGATAAATTAAAGGTTGTATTTCACAATGTGAAAGACTGACGTTTGGATAGGGCATTCAGTAATAGATAGAACTATGTATTTATACAACTATATACTTAATTGGCTATAGTTGCCATAATACTATACCTTTATAGATTTTTTTTCCTTGGCAAGTAATGTGAACACTGTATCTTTTTCTTATCATCAGGGGCCACCAGGGGAACCAGGTCTAGATGGTTTTCCAGGAAAACCTGGCCCCAAGGTACAGCCGTACGCAAGTGATGTGGATAATGTTTCCAAGGAAACAAACCAGTGAGTCACAAGCAAATAAACATTAATGTGTTGGCGTTATTTCAGGGAGTGGAAGGTCCTCCAGGCCCAAGAGGCAAGGCTGGGGAGAGGGTGAGTGCTCCGCACCTTGGGGTCTCCCTACATAACTGCCGTGAAATGCCACTAAAACGCTCTGTGTGTCACAGGGAGAAGCTGGTCTGCCAGGAGAATCAGGTGCCATTGGGCCTAAAGGGGGAAAAGGCGAACAGGTGGGTATAGAAGTGTTACCATCCAAAAGGTGTCAGGAATGCAGATATGATGGAGGGCAGGAAAGAGCTGCATATATAATCAAAAAAGTGATAGGTGTGCAAGGCTGTGTAACTATTGTCAATGTGTTAATGCAGTGGCTTATTGCGGAGAATTACTGCCCCCTGGGTGGGAGGTTTAGATACCATCTCCTATGTGTGTGTGTGGCCCAGGTATATATTACATTGTGGGGACCAAATGCCCCCACAGTGTGATAAGAGCCTGCTGTTTTGATGTTGTGGGGACCATTTTTGGAGTTAGACTTTGCTTAGACTTCTCTCACTTGCATGTTGTTCATGTTTATGCCCAATGATAGACTGGCATCCCGCCTAGGGCGTACCCCATCCCGTTCAGGGCGTCCTCCATCCCGCCCAGGGCGTACCCCATCCCGCCCAACTCGTAATCCCATCCCATTCAGGGCGTGCCCCATCCCGTTCAGGGCATGCCCCATCCCGTTCAGGGTGTACCCCATCCCGCCTAGGGCGTATTTCATCCCGGCCAGGGCATACCCCATCCCGCCCAACGCGTAATCCCATCCCGTTCAGGGCGTACCCCATCCCGCCCAGCGCGTACCCCGTCCCGCCCAGGGCGTACCCCATCCCGCCCAGCGCGTACCCCATCCCGCCCAGGGCGTACCCCATCCCGCCCAGGGTGAACCCCATCCCGTCCAGCGCGTACACCATCCTGTTCAGGGCGTACCCCATCCCGCCCAGGGCGTACCCCATCCCGTTCAGGGCGTACACCATCCCGCCCAGCACATACCTCATCCTGTCCAGGGCGTACCCCATCCAGTTCAGGGTGTACCCCAACCCTGTGCCCCACACTGCCACAACATTGCCTAGGATATGTGGTTAAAAGTCAAAGGAAGTCATAGTTTGTTTGTTTTAGTTGTCCTCATGTATTAAACATTTATAGAAAAAGAGAAAGTTCAATATAGTACATATTAAATATAGATAGACTGAATACTTTTTCCAATTGAGTATCAACATCTAAATTTCAAAATGAATAAATTTTCATGCACTTCTCAGATCTAAGACTAGAATTTGCTGCTGACATCAGTGGTGAACAATTATCCACTGACATTAATCTAATGTCAGATTTATGAATTTAATGCTGCTTGCAATGTGCCAATGTATAGATATGATGCAAATGCAGACATAATCACAGCATAATTTAACGATATGATTCCATATCCTTAACAGGGTGAAGAAGGCAGGGATGGGGCTGCTGGACCAACTGGGCAGAAAGGGGACAAGGTGAGTTGCATTGGAGAAATAAAGCATATAGCCTAGAGATGCTGTATCCATTTCCCTGGGGAAAATAGGTTTTCTCCTATTTCACCTTGTTTTCCATGAGACACACATAAAGGAGAGAGTAAGCTTGGGGGTTGCAGCACAGGGTCAGCCAGTGTCCAGCACCTCCAGAGCAATTGGGCTGAAGGGCCTTGCCCAAGGGCCCAATGGTGGCGTCACTCTGCCGGTGATGGGATTTGAACCAACAACCTTCCGTTCATGGGCACGGGGTCCTAACATGCTGCAACTGGGAATATCACCCATCTATGTAACTCCTTTAGAGGCACCCCACATGTAATGGAAGCATGTACCGCAATATATGGGTGATGAAGTACTGAAGTCAGTTATGTAGCTCAGACAGACCAAAGGCTAAGACTTCCATGTTCATGCTTAAGCGAAATCAGAATCAGGCCGTATAGCTGCGAGCCCCTGGGTACCCTTCAGAAAATCTGTTTCACAGTTACTTTCCAGTAACATTTAAATTAGGCAATCAAAATCCTCAGTGAAAGTGTACAGCTTTTTTATTTCTTGTCCTAGGGTGATATCGGACCCCGAGGACCACCTGGAGAGCCGGGAAATGTGAGTAAAATTACACCAGTGGCTTTTAGATGTAGCCGCAAATATATTCTGAGGTTTCTAATAATAATGGACACAGGGTAAACTAGCCATTAACATTGTCATAGCATCATTGTAAATAATGTTTTCCTTAATAACCAGCTGTGTGTGTCTGTCTGTTTAGGTAATTCCCGAGTTTGGGCAACAAGTAAGTTATTCTTATTGTAAATTAAAATTTATTATGTTCATCAAAGATTTGCTTGCAAGCTGCCTGATCCTGATATGACACATTTTCTACTGCCATGCTTTGTATGTAAATGTCTCAGTCTCCATAGCCCAGTGGAGACCTTGTACCACACGCCTACAGCATCTGTGGGATACTTACGACTGCATGTTCATTACGAAATTCATTATTAGTTGTGTATCACCTGACCTTTAACCAATGAACATTCACCGCAGGGGAAGCCTGGCGAGAAGGGCGAGAGGGGAGACAAGGGCAGCCCTGGGGAACCGGTACGTCAACTAATCATCCCTGAATATTATTGTTGTTGTTGTTAGCTGTGGCTTTGATCCAAGGTGACCTCCATGTGACATGGAAATACCGTGCTGATTATAGAGAAGATGGTGATTCTGTGTCATGCACAGGCCTAACTGGAGTTAAGGCCGCATGTTACCTTTCAAGGATTTTGACATTTTGAAACCAACATTTTCAACAACCAACAACGGCTTTATTTGCCGTTTGATGTATGAGTGCAGGTACATTGACATGCTTTTTTTTTCATCTATCGTATCTTTGTTCTTCTTTGGGACATGCACATGCGCATACAGCTGAGAGTGAAGCTTGGCAGAAACTGCTATAAGTGCAAATATCTGCTTTATCCCCATTGAGAATGACGAAAGCCTGTTCAGGATGCTGAGATGCGGTAGCACAGCAGCCCACTAGATGGCAGCAGAATGTCAAGATCTACTTGACATCAGCTTCTTCTCATGGGTTTAGCATAAATGTGTAGCTTTTTTCCTCTCTCAGTATTTAGTCATACTACAGTACAAACATAAAAAATGAGAATGAGAAAAAATATACTTGGAAACTTGAAACTTAAAAAATAGTATGGATGGAGAGAATATAAAACATGCCAAGAAGATTTTTATCAAAACAAAATAAAGAACTTGCCTGGATGCGTCGAGTTTCTGCGCTTCACTATGAATTCTTAAGTTTTGCTGTGATAAAACATCTCCACCCAGCTCCAGTATACAGATCTAAGCCCTTTGAATTTGTTTCCTGTGATTGATGGAGCTTGAGTAGCTGAATCCATCTTAGATTTTATATTATATTTTGAAATACACTGCTCTAGTGGGTAAGATCCATAACAATACCTTTGCCAACTTTAAAACAGTATAATTTTGTGAGCAAGATCCCAATATTTATGTGAAAAGCTTCAACACTGAATGACTTATAAAACACAAATTGAACTGGCATAAAAATAAAATCCCAGTGTCCCAATGTCATTTACATAAATTTGGAGATTCAAAAATAGTTTTTTTTACATTGTTAATTTTTTTTCTGATATTGAGAATCTACTATTACCTGATACAGTAAAAATATGATCAAATTCTGTCATCATTTTGACAAAGATAAGATACATGTCGGGTGGCTTTGGCACATAAACAATCTGTGGCTCCTCTTTCAGGGTCAAAGGGGACTTCCTGGTGAACAAGGACAAAGGGGTCCACAAGGACCACTGGTAAGAAAAGCCCTTAGTGACCTCTGGGTGACTGGAGGTCCCATGGCAACAGAAGTTTGCATTTTCAACGGATCCACTTACAAGTGCCAGCAACGATCTGCGTGTTTGATTATCTACATGGTTAATGCCATATACTGTATAATGTGTTCTGTTAGTGTCATGCATGTGCTGTCTCACCTACAACAGGGTCCAAAGGGAGAACCGGGTCTCAAAGGGCAAGCTGGGCAAAACGGGGAGCCAGTAAGTTCTGATCAGCAAGGCATGATCATATGAGACCTGTGGCCATTGTTCTGTGCTCTTGCTGTTTGAGTTCAGCACTTCAGTGAAGGTTCATTATTTTATTGCAGGGTCCACCAGGGCTGACCGGACCTCAGGGTCCACGTGGGTTACCAGGCAATGTCGTACGTCTAAAAAAAAACACAACAACATTTTCTAAAAGATATTTCAAGAAAGCAGTGCATTGTGGGATTGCTGGAGCACTATTTAAAATGTCTTTGTCCTTTTCTTAAATAGGGCGTTCCGGGAAACGTGGGCCCCCCCGGTACAGATGGTCTGAAGGGTGAGAAGGTACGAGACAATGGGATATTAACCAAATTTACGGATACGCACACCGTAGAAGGAAATGAGGAAACTGTAAATCTGGGGCACATTGTGTGGAGATACAGAGTTGTACAAAGCTGTATGGGAACAACATAAAAATAAACCCAGCAGCATTTCGCCAACTGTGATTTGATATTTTACGGTCATAAGATGCAGTATAATTAGGCCCCAAATACACCCTGATGGGGAAGATAATGAGGGGTAGGAGTAATAAGCAGCATCTCCTCCATTTTTTTTTTTCTTGACTAACAAAAACACTTCATATTTTCAGCTCTCAGCTGTCCCTTCACATTTATGAAGGCTTTAAAGTCTAAGCCTTTCTAATTTTTTTCCAGGAAAGCATGTTTGGAAAGGCCTTCCCATGACACCCTTGTTGAGTAACAGGTTAGAAATCATGAAAGAAGCAGAGAACATTCTCATCCTCATGTTCCCTTTTTGCCATTTTCCAGGGTGAACCAGGAAAAGATGGCCAGCCTGGTCCTTCGGGGAGATCAGGGGAAGCGGGGGTACCTGGATTGCCTGGCAAAGGGAAGGATGGGCACCCAGTAAGATAACAAAACGGCCACCTTATAGCAGATGGGGAAATTTCATTGGGCACCCTGTAAGATAACAAAGCGGCCACCTTATAGCAGATGGGGAAATTTCATTGGGCACCCTGTAAGATAACAAAGCGGCCACCTTATAGCAGATGGGGAAATTTCATTGGGCACCCTGTAAGATAACAAAGCGGCCACCTTATAGCAGATGGGGAAACACTATATTAATGCCATGTCTATAAAAATCTATGAACACATTCAAAGCACTTTATAATGCATTCACAAAGCATTATAAACATGGCTAAAATATTTTTTAAAAGGCCGGACAAATTATAGCCATATTTATTATACATTATGAATGCTTTATCATGCTCTCATCTATAATGCCCTATAAATACCTTCATAATGTGCATTATAGATGAGAGCTTCGTTGGAGCTTATGAAGTGTTATAATCAACAATATAATGCCTTATGACTGTCAATAGATGTCAATAATGTAGCGCTTCATTAATTCTTCTACCGACCATTATAATGCATTATGAAGATATCTATAGTGCATTATAGATGACAGCTTTAAGTGTTACCAAAAATGCGAACACAGATTATTTCATCAAACTATCAGTTTCATATATATTGAATGCAAGAAATAGTTTTTAGAAGTTTTGACAGGTTATTTATTTGCAGGTTATTAATTCCCCCCAGTTAATGTTTGATCTCAGTCTGGGTGTATACCCCTACTCAGTCTCAAAAATGTTTTTTCATTTGGTGTTGGGTTTTGTGGGGCTGCTGATTATAGTTAAAAATGAGCGTCACAACTGATATACATTGTAATTCAGTACATTTATAAAGACAGTGGTTATGGTTATAATGGCAGATCCTCTCATTAATATATAACGTGTAATTTTGCAAATATGTTATCTACTACAAACACATATTTCGATGTCATTAGGAAACGGATTTTTGTAAATGTCAGTCTCCACTTTGAAGGGGGGAACCTGGCAAAGTGATTCCATCTGCTTCTTATCTGGACTTCTGCTTTGCTGTTTACATGGGGAGGATGCTGACACTTTCATCATTTGCTGAATTTCAGGGAGATCCTGGACCACCTGGCCTGCCCGGACCTCAGGGAATGAAGGTAGCGATTCTGAACATGTGATAGGAGATGTGACATGCCCAGTAAATGGCAAAGTAACTGTTTCCGCATTCTCTGGACCTACTTTTAGCACACTTAGGAGTCCTGAGCATGCCAGTCCAAAAACCATATGAAAATGAACATCTTTAGCAGGTTATTCATTTAAACGATATTATAGATTTGTTCAGCAGTCCTTCATATCCTGACCGGCCCATTTTCCCTTTTGACCAGTGGGATATTTCTTTAGAAGTCACACCAGCCATAGTGACCTTAAACTGAAAAGGTGAAATACTTTTTCTGTAACCGTAATGCGAAAAGCGCAAAACGGCATTAAGTAGAGGAGGCTCTAAAATATCCTCACGCCCAAACATACTATTGCAAGGCAGGAATATATTTAAAATCTGCTTCCTTTCAATGTATGCTTCTCACAGAAGGATAAGTTCAAAGGATTAATCAAAAGAACCAAACCTCTCTGTTTCAGGCCTTTGTAAGTACTTTTGCTCCTGCTTTTAAGATTTTGCTTTTAACCCTTAATCTTTAGCTATTTAACCCTTAGCTACATGTATGACTTTTATCCAAACCAATTCCTTTCATCAAGCTGTGTAGGTCTATGACCTTATATATCACAATTCAACACTGGATAACATTTCACCTTCAACTTCGGTGTTATAAGACGTGATATACTGTAAAGGCTGCCAAAGATTAATAGAAACATTTCCACAGAACATGCAGGAGATCAATGATGATGATTTGTAAACATATATATGTCCATGGAGGCTAACAGAAATAGCAAGGCTAAGATTGATCCCATAGCTCGTACCGCTGGGCTCTTCAGGGCATGATTGTTGTCTTGTTACAGTCAGTGATGCGATTTTATGACATCGGGTATGAACCATGCAACAAGCGGATTTAGTCATAAACCTTACGAGATGAAATTTGATCAAACTGGCGCATTCAGTGCTTAGTTGCTTATTGACTTAATGCTGCTATAGACCTATTAATCAATACATATCCCACGGGTACAAATGAGAAGTAAAACGGCTGATATGTTCGTATTAAGAAAGGGCTGTCTTTTCACTCTCTTTTAAACCACCACATGTCACATGCTGCGTGATTAAGGGTATGCCTCGTCCTTTTTAATTGTGTGAGGGAAATGGTTGTGTTCTGGGTTATATTGATAGCCAGCAGGCCACTTTGTTATTAATCAGAGACAATGATTTTATACTCATTCATCTAGTAAAGTAATTGTTCAGTCATGACGGCGAGGCAAGGTGAGGGCAGGGAAATGAGGTGATGGTCCACTTGCAGCTCTGTGACAGAAGGGGTTTATTAAGAAAGCAGAACAACAAAGGGGACATAAAAAAATAAGAGGACCACAAAGGATCATGAACAAATGGGGAAAATAAACTAATACTGACACAACCAGGAAACAGAATTAACAAGTACTAACTACTAGAAACTAAAAGGAAACAAGGTTAGGGAACAAGGAGACATCAGGGGCAAGAACAGGCTAGGGAACAGAGCAACGGACATGCAGGAACATAATCACAGCTGACATGCAGGAACATAACACACAATGATTGAATAACAAAGCGAGTGAGGGCAGGCACTGAAATACACACAGGAATCCAAGGAAAACAAGGGACAGGTGTAACTCACAATCGATTAACCAATCAAGGGAGGTGCAGGAACAACAGGAAACAGGTGGAAGCCGAAACACTAAATAAACACAGAACTAAGGGAACTAGCAAACACTAAAGACTAAGAATACACAGCAAGAGAGACTAGTACCATAAGAATACACAGAAAACATAAAACCTAAAAATAGGAAAACACACCAAGTAATAAACACCAGGGCACAAACAAAGAACGTAAAACTGGAGGGTACACCCTCCAAGCTATGAGCTATGCTGTGGCCCAGAAAACCGGGCAACACACAAGAGCTGAGGTCTAAAAGAGGGATGAGGGGAACAAAATGACAAGTGCAACATGCTGGCCAATAACAGGACATGGAGGATGGGCTCGGACAGGTGCCGACCCTGACAGTTCAGGGAATGGCTACAAATTGGATGAATGTATGTGGTTTAAGATTCAATTGCTGTAAGAGTGTATGGGTCTGTGGCATTCAATATAGATGATGCCTTTTGTTTGAAAATTGGGAGTGAATTTATTCAATGAACACATTGGCATGTGCAGAATATGGATTCTAATGCTGGGTTCTAATGGTCTTGCCAAGGGCCCACCTGGACCACAGGGCATGCAGGGACTTCCAGGAAGCAGAGGCCCCCCTGGGGAGGCAATAACAGGCCCCACGGTATGACACTCCTGTTTGATGCTAAGAACACCACAGTTGCACGTGTGCATGCGCAGTCATGCAGGCGAGGCAGGCTACGTCTGGCATGATGAGGCCCCTTGGTCTGCCCCAGTGGGCAGCTACATGACTCTGCCATAGCAAAGAAATACTTTTCGATACAAATTGTAACAAAATGCATGTCAATTGCAATGTTTTTCTTCATTTGCTTATTTTCTTATTGGTTCAGGGACCCCCAGGACCTCCCGGTGAAACAGGGCCAGCGGTAAGAAATTTGCGTGAAGCTGTTCATTAGTATCAAATCCTGTTTTCTCAGTTTCTCTGGCGATTAGTACTAATTAAGTCTAATATATACTGTGCTGATGTGATACATTAACCAATGATTACATCACTGTACTAATTATGGAAGATTTATGATATTTCTACAATATTTCTAAGGTCTTATGTACATGTAGATCTATGTAGGGAACCATACAGTGATCTTTCATAATGAAATTTGTATGCATTAATAGTGATTAAATAACTTTATTTGTATGCATAACACTGAAGAACAAAGAAGCACCACATTTTTCACCAAGGACCTGGTGGAGTTTTATCATTTCCACAGAAAATAAACTATTCAGTGTGTAACCTCAGATGGACAATGATGAGTGATACCCTGGTGATGAATGACCCTTTGTTTGCTCTTTTATCCAATCATTCAGGGTGTTAGAGGTCTGCCAGGAAGTCTGGGACCGCAGGGTCCTCCTGGGCACGATGTAAGCATGCTGAGCCTCCAGTACTCAATACGTGTGCACTGTCACTGTGGATCTCATCACATTCTCATCACCAAGCCTGTGAAGTTTTGTCAAAACATTTAAAAATTCATTCATCTTCCAACCACATAGTGGTCACATAGCATAGCAGTCACAAGACACAGGGACACCCTGGATATGGCGCGTGCAGACATTGACTGTGTAATTTAGGGCGTACTCAGGCCCAGGTGCCTTGTACCGTGTCCGGGCATGATTGCTCCCACCAAACACTGCCCCCCCCCCCACTCTCCTGCTGGTCTGTGCTCACATTGCACAGCGATCCTGGCCTGAGCACGCTTTCATCAACACGTGTGACTTTTTTGTGTTTAGGAAAACATAGAAGGAAAAGCGCTATGGCACAGCACAATGGAGTTCATGATTAATGACCTTATTTTGTGGCTTATTTGGAGTCTTTTTGGGTATGATGACACACGGCCCACTTACAGATTTATTGAGCATTCAACGCAGCAGTTTTCATTTAATGATGCTGCACATGTAAGAAGATTATCCACATATCTCAGTTTTTTTGTGTGTTGCGTCCAGTTCTTCCTGGATACTCTCTTCAGTCCAAATTTCCAGCAAACACTGCACCTCAGACCAAAGTGATCCCTTTGCTGCGATGTTTGTGAAATATTTGTGACTACCTGATCCGTACAGCCTATCTGATCTGATCCTTCCAGATCCGGGTCATTGTAGCGTCCATGTGTGTATGCATGTGTTGGTTGCATGATTAATGTCTGTGTTCTGTACTTGGGAACAGTTAGCGATCACACTGGATGCTTACTGCTCCCAGGCGTGCCAAGGCACGGTACAGACCAATCACACTAGTCAAAAAACTAGACTCTGGGGGGTCAAACGTGCTCAGGCATGGTACACATGGCCTAGTGTAAGTAAACCCATAGAGAGAGCAATTTTCCGGAACCAGAGTAGCTGGGGGAAGCCAAGACCACATGCAAACTCCACACGCAGAGCGGCAGTGAACCGCCAGATGTGAACCACTCACAGAGCCACTGGGGACTCAAAGGCGTGATTTTCAAATATGATCAATTAGTCAGATTCAGCCCTTCTGGTGCATTTTAAGAGCATGTGGCAAGAATGAAGTTGAAACCAATAATTATTCTTCGCTTGATAGGGTTTACCGGGACGGCCTGGTGAAAAGGGGTCCCAAGGGGAACCTGTAAGTATTATTTGTAAATTAAATATGTACAGTATGCTGTACAGTCCCACTCAGCACAATAGGAAATGAGTTATAACTAATGCAGAAAGTAACAGTATCTGTCTGTCTGTCTGTTTCATAGGGAAAAGCAGCTGACTTGTCAGAGCTGGATTTGAAGGTATGAACTAACCAAACAAAGCTTTGCTACTTGATTTAAATTATGAAGACTGAAATGTATATGATGTACACTTGCAATTTAGGTGTGTACTGCTGGTAATGCATTTTTGCATTTGGTATAACTTATTCACATATAGTACCAATTTACCCAATATATGTTCATTTTTATCCTCCTATATCATACAGGAAGCAAGTTATGTGCCTGCTCACAAAATTTAAGGCTTTGCATATCCCCTAACATTAATAAGACCTGGGAGCAATATCCGTGGCACCTGGTTACAACAATATAGAGAATAATGGGTGCAACACGTGATACATTCACAGTAAATAGGGAATTGTTTACATTTGGGATCCAGGTTCTTTTCTTCACTGTGACTCTTGGCCCTCCAGGACGTATGTTCAGATTGCCCTGCAGGACCCCCAGGGCTGCCTGGCATGCCGGGATTACCGGGGGACAAAGGCATTGCGGGACCCCCGGGAAAAGAGGGCCAAGATGGACACCCGGTATGTGAAACACTGCCTTCAGTCAGCCATGTTTATGTTCGGTCGATAAGATCCCATTCGAATATCTTTGGTGATATAAAAGCTGCTTAATGAATATTTGATGACTAGAATGAATAACATTTATGGGAGAGATGCTCAGCATAGTGATAAAATAATAAGCAATAGTCCCACACGTGTGCGGAGTTTTGCATGAATTCCTCATGCGTGTCTGTGTAATTGGCCAATAAAGTGATTGTGGTTCTGAATATGATTTGTGAATTTATCCTGCTTGAAGGTTGTCTTTGTTTAATATTTTAGTTACTCGGGGTTGGAGTTAAATTCAAGCTCCTGTCATTAATTAATGATGTTTTGCATTCAACTGCAGGGTCCTGCTGGGTCTACAGGTCCTGCTGGGCCTCCAGGAGCCGAGGGGACAAAGGCAAGATCACATGAGCTGCCCATGTGACAGGGCCGTCCACAGCTAGAAACATCTGCTGTTCTTGCTCTTAGGTTTTTAAGCAGCAAGTCTGTTTTTATAGAGCTGCTAAACGTTTAAAGTTATAGTTTAGTTTGTTTTATGCACAAATACCGATGATTTTCCCCAATGTGGAGTAAAACTGAGCATTCAGGAAAATTGCAATTGCATTTATGATTCCAATGTCAGCATTTATTCTTTGGCTGACCAATTTGACCATGAAAGATACAGAAGCTGCATTGTAGTTTTCCTTAGAAGCCATATTAGTGCCAATGTATATTTCAGTATTTATATTATACTTATCATGTGACCAAAGATAATTTACTGAAGACTTGTAATGGGCACCCTAACAGTTTGGGGTCATACAGTCGCATTAAAATCTATATATATTTAAATCTACATGTTACCCACAAGTCAGCAGCAGGTCAGAGTTTATTCATAACTTATTAATTGTTAATGGGATAATATAATATAAATATGCTGGTGTTGGCACTAATAATATCCAAAATGTGCTACCAGGGTATGAAAGGTGACCGAGGACCTGCAGGTGCTCCTGGAGACAAAGGTGAAAAGGTGAGACTGAAAGTAATATCAGCAATTTCTTAAGGACAATATGAACTTGCATCAGTGCAGAATGGGGCAAGCCCCCCCCCCCCCTTCTACAAAGTCATGATTTGTTTAAGCCGTTTGTCAGCCAGGAAAAGCTAAGAAGTTCCCCTGGACTGGTAAACGAACAGTTTAGCTGGTAAAAGAACAGTTCAGTTGGTGCTGAATCTAAATGCAGACATATATGTAAATATAAACAGCATTAATTACCCATGCCCCCCCCCCCCCCCCCCCCCCCCCCCCCCCCCCCCCCCCCCCCCCCCCCCCCCCCCCCGCCCCACACACACACACACCCACTTTTACGCCAGACTGCCACCCAGGGCACCCCGTAAGACCTCTGGCACAGTCAGTAAGCCAGCTGTTTGCCCCCCCACTGTGTTTTCGTAACTAAAGCCTCTGTGCAGTTTCTGTGGGCCATATCACCACAGGCTTTGCATTGCTGTGTTGCAGGGACTTCCAGGGGCGCCTGGATACCCAGGGGCTGCAGGCTTAGTCGGGCCTCAGGTGAGTATCTGCCTTTGCTCTTAGGTCCTGGGGCTACGCATATATAAAACTCACTTGGCGCATTCCGGTCTCCGCATGAATAATTCAGTAAACATTATTAATGTGGTTATTGTTAGTAACACATTAACCATTTTCCCATTGCTGGAAAAACCAATTTGCTGTATGGCCCTGACTTATGTTACTCTGATAAACTAATACTACCCTGTGCATGTTTAACTTAGCAAGTTTACTTTTATACCTGGCCCTCGGCAAGTAGCGTCTGTGCTTCAGTCCTCAAGGGTTGTACGTTTAAATCCTTAGCTCTATGTTCAGAATTTCCATGTTCTTCACATTCTTGCTTTGATCTTGTGGATTTCCCTCCAGATCCAAATGCATCGTCTCCCCCGAAATCCTCTCAGTGTGCATGTCGTCATTTGTATGCACATGAACCTCATTTGTGGGTTGTCCGACATTAAATCTGGACCTTCGTATGATCAAGCACTAATTGCATCAGGGGTTTATAAGAATCAATGAAAGAACGAACTGGTAGTTTTTAGCTGAAAGTATTCATGGCTAATTTCTATAGGTCTGCATTGGAAAGATGTGCTGGACTGTCTGTGAGCTAAGTCAGCTTTTTAATAGACAGTTCAGTGTTCTGTCAATTATTTTCTTGATGAGTGTGAGGTTCTTTCATAGGGTACCGATGGTCAGCCAGGACCAATGGGTCCTCCAGGTCCACCTGGAGAGAAGGTAATTAAATCTTCATCAGCTGTGTATCAGCCCTGATAGTCCTACTACTAGTGAGACAACATAATTTCCCTTCCTATAGCATGTGGTTACATTGTAAACATGCAGCTTGTGTCATAGCCGCTGGTGTTGTGGATGATCCATGTTATGTTCTGCTCAGGGCAAAGATGGTCTTAAAGGAATCCAGGGCCCGCCCGGTTTACCTGGATTAATGGTAAGATATTGTTATAGTTTCCCCTCCTATTTCTGTAATCCCGGAACTCCAGGTAGAAAAGGCCACACGGGTATGATGGGATAATCCTTCCACAGTGCTGAATACTCTGTTTACCAATGACACCAATTCAATAGGTAAACTGTTTAAATGTGACAAACTTAGCATAAATATGTATTCACAATGCATTAATAAAACTGTATCCAGGGTTTAAACCACAAAAAATCTTTGTGTTTTGTATGAGTACAGTTCCATACAAATTAATTTGTTTTCACACATCCCACCTTGTGATGTTACCTCTCAGACTGGAAGATTTGATTTTTTTTGTTATATTAAAGGGGATTGCTGGGAAAATGGGGAAGGATGGAAGGCCTGGTGAGCAAGGGGAACCGGTAAGTTGCTTGCTGGTTTGGTTAAATCCTCTCTTCCTGTCTGGTTGAATGCTGTTAAGCACAACTGACAATGTGCTTGAGGCAGCTGTATGGCAATTTGAAGATAGAAATCTGTGCTACATTTATAAAAATGGCTTGGAAAACTGCATTTTAAAATAGGTATGTAATGGTATCGAAAAAAATATTTATATTTATTTTCAGGGCAAACAAGGAGAACCAGGACCCCAAGGCAGAGATGGACTCAGAGGGCTTCCTGTAAGTTTGTTTTTTTGGGGTGTTTGGGAAATTTTGGCATTTCTACGATCCTCCATGCACCGTTTGCCTGTTGATATGTAGCAACTAAGGGCTACATTGAAATGTTGTGTTATGAAAAATGGCTGGTTAATAAAAGTTTCATTTCTATTACAGGGATTTAAAGGGCCCAGGGGGGAACCTGGCCCCCCAGGATCTCAGGTAAACAAAAACATTTTCATGACAGCTGTATCATAAAATTTAATTAAGAGGCTACATCTGAAGACAGCATGATATGCTCGTACACCAACATGATGAAGGGTGTCTTTTCTTCAAACGAACAAGTGCTTATGAGATTTATGGGGGCTGTATTTATGTTATAGTCTATGGTAGCATGTTTCTTTCCGTGTGTAATCCCCTGTGTTGTGAAAAGAGCTTTGTGGATGCAATTAAAAACCATCTGAAATATGGTGATGGCTCCTCTGTCCTGTTCAGGGTGAAGAAGGCAGAGCAGGCCCCCCGGGACGGGATGGTAATTCCGGGAAAGATGTGAGCGGCGAGACCGTTTTACACAATAACTACATACACCAACGGCCAAAATTGGGGGAACACTTTCGATTTTTAGAGATGGCAGAACTTTATTCAGCTGTTGCTCCAGTTACTTATTTAATCATCCAGTGTATATTTGTAACATTCTTTGATTGTTCATGAACATTACTGCCAATATTTGTGTAGTAATTTTTAAAGCGCAATGCCAAAAATGTTAGGAGTTTCCACAATTTTGGCCACTAGTGTATATACAGTCAATCTGTTGTAAGTATGCCACAGATGTGCACATCTCTAAAATCTTACGTATCTTGTACGTAGGGTGTTCCTGGTCCTCCAGGGCCGGAGGGTCACATGGGCCAACGAGGGGAACCGGTGAGACAGCTCTTAAGCATCGTTAAACGATAGAAAACCACTATGACTCACAGCTACCTCTAAATGCACAGTGGGGGATTTCAGAGGGATTGGGAGATGACGGCTATTGTTTACAGTATACTGAGGTGACAGGTAAAAGCAAGGGGGCATTCTGATGGAAATGTTTGACCTATCATGCAACAATAACGGTATGAACACGGGTAAGGTTTTGTTGTTTTTCTGTAGGGGAAACCTGGTGAACCCGGCCCGTCTGGAAAGCAAGGATCTCCTGGAATGCCAGTTAGTGATACAATTTTTCATCATTGCCTGTGTCACTGTAGTCTGATAAGCAGAAACACTACCTTACGTTGTCCAATGGAATGAATGGATTTGATGATTTACTGTGGCCAATGCATGAACTACTGATGAACTACTGATGAAAAATGACTGGTTATAAATGGCGTCCTTGAATGATCAAGGTAATGGGATGTTTACAGAGATGATATTTGCTCACTAAAGGGTTTTTCTTTGTCTCTGGGGTTACTTCTGTCGGTGTAGGATTTATTTGGAAAAAAAAATGAACATGATGTAAATTGCATTATGCTGCTAATGGGTCTATACAGAGTTCATGATAGGACATAAGAAGCTCCGATATTTAACTTTGTGTTTTTCAGGGTGTTAAGGGCCAGAAAGGAGATGCCGGAAGCCCAGGATTGCCTGGATTTATCGGCCCCAAAGGACCCTCTGTAATTACTGATTATATTTTTATACTAATGTTGTCTATTATGTGAGTGTGTCATCTTCCAATATTCCAGATTTAATACTTGGGTTTTCGTGACCTAATATAAACTAGCAGTGAAAATGTTTTAGGTGAATTCTAAATTATGTTTCACCACGATTCACTCTGTGATTTGTTGCATGGCGTTTCCATCCGGTTTGGCAGATTACTATAATCCTCCAAAACAAACCAAATGCTGCATATAATTTCATGTTTATTTTACTCCGTTTAGGGATCACCTGGTCCAGCAGGAGCTGAAGGAAAACACGTGAGTACAGTTGTAATATTGGTTTATAACATTATGATATTGTGGAATAGGCAGTAATTTCAATACTTCACTTTTTCCAGGGAATGCCGGGAAAACCAGGAGACCGTGGTTCCAAGGGTGAGCGGGTAAGAGTAACAGGATCATTGGAACATTCCGGCACTGAAAGATCCCACTAGTCTGTTTTGCCCACTAGTCTGCTAGTAATTTGATATTAGTGGATTTCCAAAGTGATACTGTATAAACGCAATAATAAAAGTAACTACATACAATACTGCATAGGTGTAAATTACAGGGGGATGGGGGGATTGTACAGCAACCCCCCCTCCGATAAATCAAAACTGGCTAATACAACTTCCCCAATAATCATGTTTCCCTCTAAATGGTTGGAGACCTCAACCCCCCCAATGTTCAAACCAAAGTTACGCCCTTGCTGCATTGTTCCTCCAGCCGACAATCCATTAAAGCCATTTTCACCAGCGTCACGAAGTAGTGTGTGCATTCGTTTTAACGAACCATTGCGTTTTTATTATAATAGACTTTAGACAGTCCGTTCGTAGATATGCAGTGGGATGTTCTTAGCCCGGGGACCACTTGTAATATATTCTGGACTTTATGCTTCAATTGTGCTGTAAAGCTGCCTGGAATTATTTGGTTGATTTTGTGTTTTAGGGAGATTCAGGCATAAAGGGAGATAAAGGAGTACCTGGAGATCCAGGGCTACCTGGAAATCCCGGAACTCCAGGTAGAAAAGGCCACACGGGTATGATGGGCATGTCAGGGCCCCCAGGAGAGGTGGGACCTGCTGGGCCACAGGGACCAACTGGACAGCCAGGCTTTCCGGGCCCTCGGGTGAGGACGGTTTAACCTTGATGCCGTTTTTTATGTAAAATGTTAAGCTACGTGGATCATGAAGGGTAATATGCCTTTATTTGACCTATAGGGAGAACCAGTATCCCTAGAACAAATGCGAAGGCTAATCGAAGAGGAACTATCAAAACAATTAGACGGTGAGATTTCACTTTAATAACTTTCATGTCGCTTAGCATCATCCTGGAATAATCATATCTGTACAAGATGTGCATTTGGAAATACAGTCAGCCCTCATGCATTTGCGCTTCGTGATTCTCAGATTCACAGATCCGCAAAAATCTTATTTGCATTCATGATTTTTTCACACACCTGCGAAATCCTCGAAAAATCCTACAGAAGTCTTTATGTTTAATTTTCATAGTAATTTATAAGTTTTAATTTGTAAGAAAAATTTAGTTAATGAAGATTCTACTGTGTTTTGGGGGGAAGCTCAAGACATACAATGTAAATCAGTTAAAAATCCCTTACAAAACGTGACTTTCTTATGGAAACCTTACTTTTTATGTACATAGCCTACTGTACTGTACCTTTACAAGATGCAAATCTCATTCGCAAAGTTTATTCCCTTTGGGACACTAATGGTTACATAAATATTAGAAAATAGTTAATTTACTATTTTGCAATAGTAAGTACACATTAACGTAAATTCAATGTACAAAAATTATACATTTCTTGAAAGGTGCTAATGTTTATGTACATAGCAGATGCGTCCCGGGTTTCCCTCTCAAGGCGCATTTGCTATAAACACTGAAAGGGTTCGTTTACTCATTTTACCTTACTGTCAGTGCAAAAGAATACGGCAGCCAATGCCGTGTTCTATGAATTAGTAGGGGTAACATTAGTATATACTGTACTGTACTGTACTGTGCTAGTGTGACAAATGTCCATAATGTACTCTATTTTCACATCAAACATTTGTTTTTTTAAAAGGTAATGTATTAAATTAAAGTGTTTTGGGAGGATTACTGGGGTAATATTTAGGGTTTAAACTATAGAAAAAAGCACATATTACCATTTTTAGTGACTACCATACTGTACATCCGCGATTCATCCTCATTCGCGACAGGTTTTGGAACGTAACCTCGCGAATGTCCGAGGTCTGACTGTATGTGAATATTTTTAATTAATTTTAGCCAAGCTTGCCTACCTCATGGCCCAGATCCAGCCAGCTCATGTGAAGAACAGTGTTGGCCGGCCCGGACCCCCAGGTCTTCCCGGGAAAGATGGAACTCCAGGCCGACCTGGGCTCCCTGGAGAGCCAGGAATGCCCGGCCCGAACGGAGGTGATGGGCTAAGAGGACCGATGGGTCCCAAAGGTTTGTACTCTGTTTTTAAGAAACTCTTCAGCAACAACGCTCAGTTGAAGCCCAAAATCAAATTGGCACTGAAAATAGATTTGCTGCAACTCAAAATACAGGTGTTAAGGCCTTTGCACACCAAGTCCGTTTTTTTGTCTTATGAGATTTTTTAATCTGTCATCCAATCAAGATTGTTACACACAGAAACCTTGCACGCTGAGTCCAATGTGTTGTATTATTCTATAATTGTGAAAATGTATAATAAAAGACAAAGTGGAGTTGTTTGTGGTCCATTCACTTCTTCTGAGTAGGAAGAGAGAAAGAAAATACTCGGTCCATCTGAACCCAAGAAGCCATGAAGAGCAGGGAGAATTTCACCTGCTGATATGGGAACTGTGGAATTATCCCAGTCGGCTCAAGGTGTATTTCAGAATGTCAGTGGTCCAATTAGATCCACTCCTAACAAACCTGGAACCACATTAAAAAGAACCAGTTTCTGTGATTCAGTTGGGCCTGAACATCAGCTGGCAGTGTGTATTATTTGGACACACACATCATGAGATTAATAGACAATCAAAATCGTGCTGTCGGAAAAGTCCTCTCTAGGTGATTGGCAGATACTCAGGGCAAAGCCTAATAATGCGGCAACATACATTCAAGATCGTGGTCAACAGCGTATGACGGAAGCAAAAAAAAAATGCAGAAAATCAAACCTGTCCTGAAAGCTTTCATGACAGATGAAAGTTTTGGAGTTGTGTAAACGTGATTTCACACCATGTGAGGTCATATTTATTTTTAAAGCGTGCGACAATCTTGGATGAAAAATACAACCTTGGTGTGCAATGGCCTTTAGTTCTGATAAAACGGATGCACTCTGCCTGTGTGTCACTGTTCAAAGCAGTTTCTTCCTGTTTTTATCTACAGGTGAACGAGGGTCTAAAGGTGACAGAGGTGAAGCTGGTGTTGGAGTACGGGGAGAAGTTGGTCCCCCTGGTCCTACAGGTAAGGTCCCTCAACAGCACAAATTTCCCTGATTCGCTGATCTTTCATCTCGGCTGTCCTGCTTTCTTTCTTTTTTTAAATTGTTTTCCTCAATTTTCATTTCTAGGTCCGGCAGGGATTCCAGGATATGGCAAAGACGGGGTGCCAGGGACGCCTGGAGTTCAGGGAGAGCCAGGAAACCCCGGACCTCACGGTTCTTCTGGGCCACCAGGACCCACTGGCCAGTGTGACCCTTCCCAGTGTGCCTACTACGCCAGCCTGGCCGCTCGGCCCACCAATGTCAAGGGGAATTAGAGGACAGGAGGTGGCGAGGGGGCCCATTTACGAACTTAATATTTCATTGAACAAAGAACTGTTCTTTAAAAAAATAATGATAACCTCATTGGGCTGATTGGGGGAGGTGTGTGTGTGTGTTTGGGGGGGGAGGGGTGGGGGGTGAGAGTAATGCTGCCGGTCAGAATTTCTTTTACATGGTTGGAGTGGGGGGTTTGGGGCAGCGGTGGGTTGTCTGTCAGATCTTTTCTGCCAGGGACAGCAGTAGCAGTTTGCTGTACTAAGGAGCAGCTTCCTGACTGATGAATGCCCTTTTCTGTGTCCCGCTGATTACATATGTCACAATCTCCTGCCATTAATCAGCAGTTTAGACAAATTACCGCACCACAAACCTTTGCAGGCATTAATTATTAGGTATCCGCTAAAGAGAATGATGTACCTTTTTGTTACTGATTTTGCGATTTTTTTTTTTGTTCTGGGGGAGATGTCATTCATTTTTAAATACAAATATTTTTTTCTAATGATTTCTATTGTGTGATGTCTTTATGCTGAGCAGTATTTTTTGTGAAACTCCAATTTTTGAAATTATGTGGCTAACATGCATGCACCATTAAGGATAAATAATGAATTGTTTTTGTTATTGTTTTGAAGATTATAGGATAATTACCAGTATTTTTAATAGGAAAAGGCTTTCTTGAAAATTACTAACTCTGAGGTCTCTGAAGCATTTCTTATTGAAACCAAAAAACATGGAAGTTTGAATAACATTAGCAACAAAACTTTTAAAATACAAGGAATCAATGAATATTTAGCTAAAGTTGTTGCATGAGTATAGCGATTTAATAACCTTGATCTAAATCTCACAATATTTTCACAATAGTTTCTCACAATAGTTTCTCACAATAGTTTCTTTTGGGACATTTGGAGCAATGCCTCTCAACTCGGTTCTCAGGAACCCCCAGACAGACCATGTTTTTGCTCCTTCCTATCTCCCTGGTGGGGGGGAGCAAAAACATGGACCGTCTGAGAGTCCCTCAGGACTGGTTTGAGAAACACTGATTTACGATACGGTCATTTTGTGTCGTGTTCAGTCTCGATAGAACTGTAGTAAAATTCGCTGCTTTGACTATGAGATGAAATTCTGTCTAGTTTGAATGTGAACTTTGTGCGTCATAAACCGAAACTCTGGGAAGACTGTCTAAAATTTCTTCTGAAATACGAGCATGTATTTTGTTAAGCTGCAAATTAATGGCTGTGTGCTGCCTTGTATTCAGATCTTCAGTTTTGTGCAGCCAACAAGTGAAACTCTTCTAAAGATCCTTTTATTGTCCCTAGTGGACCAATTAGTACAAGCTTAGAAAACCCAAATAAGCTGACAGTCTCATTTCTGGATTTTTCACTTTTGCTTTGTGGGAAATAAATGGCTGCGAGTTACAAAACCACTAATTTATCGTCAAAAATTTCAGGCCTTCATATGACTCCTTATGTGGTGCTGAGCTGGGGCACAAGCTCAGGACTGCGGGACTCACTGCACATTTCCATAGTTTTCCATCTGGAGCAGGGCTTGCTGTTTTGAAGGTCACCAACTATACTTTCCAATTGGTTTAATGGCTTCTTATAGATCCCCAGTGGTGCAGCAGAGCTAAAAATAGTAAAATGCCACCTGTTCTAGAAATATTGCCATGAAAATGGCGAATATCACCTTATTCTAATGGTACGCTGTTAAAACCAGCTCCAGAAAAAACTGTGTTTAATATGTTTTCGATTTTTTATTCCTATTTCTTTTAGGGGAGAGTTGACTTGAATCCAAAGACTTTTAGGCTTTACACAACTTTTGAACCCTTCCTAAGTCATAATTTACCAATAGGCATTTCCAGCTAAGCCCTAATCTAAAATGCAAATCACATTTTGTTTATAGTTTCTTATTTTAGTTGGAATGGTGCTGTTATCTTCTGTTTGACTTTTTACGGTATTCTTACACCCTGTACGTTTTTACAAATACTAATAGCTTTGTCTTGCTGTTGTGATTGTAGGTTTTCAATTAAATTATTCTAAGAAGCAAAAAATATACAATGGTGCTGTCTCTGAATTCTGTAGTAAGTACTGAAAAGGCAAATTTGTTGCAATAAAAATGCATTCGGATCCATTTTATAGAACATGCCTTTAAATTTTGTGAATACTTCTATTTTGAGCATAACTGGAGTGAGTATTAATGCCGTTTAACCAGATCAATTTATAATAAATACTTGTAAAATATCAACTGTGAATTTTTGTAGTGTTTTCTGGCATTTTTATTTCTACACAAAACGTCTTATTTTGCACCTTCTGATTGTGAACACGGTCATTAAACTAGCTTACCTTTCTTTTCTATTTAAAAATAATTATAGATGTAATGTAGGGTGATATATTTTTGTTGTACATTTAGTCACTCTGTATACATCTTTAGGTTTTCTGTTCCCAGTTCAGGTACAATACCTGTGGCAGGTTTCAATTTGCACAGTCATCCTCACCTGTGAACGTGCAAATTTGGTGTGAAAGTCTTAGCTTTTAATTTGCTGTCAATGTATTTAGTGACCACATACTAATTTGTTCACAGCTTAATATTTAAACAGAAATGCATTCTGGTGAGAATTAAAGCACTCAGTCTGGCAGTGGACAATAAATGTTATGTTTGCTCATTAAATGAATCAGATGTGAGCAAAGGTTGGTATGTTTACCCTCTCTGTGGTCGCCCAGCAACACTGGAGGTCCGGTACAAACATTCATTTACCACTATGGTTCCTGGAAGAGGTGCAATCGCAGAGAGTTTTCATCCAATAACACCCCCTCTTTTTGTAAAAGCACGTTAATGACACGTTAAAAGGCCCACTATAAGTTCTGATTTGAGATGATTGTTCTAATACATTTGCTAAATCAAGTCAAATTCTGGCAATAAAATGTTTTTGACAACATACACTTTTTTTGTATACATCTTTCCTCCAAGTCACCAAGTCAGGGACACATTTACTGAACATTGTGTAACTTGTGTTTTTAACTTTGTTGCTAAAGAGAGAGGCAGGTTAGGGAGCTGCTGTTGGCTCATCTCACCCATTTCAGGCCGTCTCTTGTGTGCTCTTGCCAGAAATAACCTTCAGCAGTGGAACAGTCAATAGGCTAAAAATGTAGCTAATGGGTCACTCCCACCCATCTTCCTGTACCTATAGCCAGGGCTGAGGCTAGAAATCCCACCCCTGACAAAAACACACTCTAGGCTCTCGTGAATATAAAATATGATCCCTTCCAGCATGTTCCAAGGTCCCTGTCCGTAACCCCTGTATCATTTATGGTGCCCCTGCCTACTGCCAATTTATAATAATGAAGCAAATTATTCCTAGAGCAGTGTTTTTCAACCCGGGCTTCAGGCACCCCCACATTTTTGCTCCTTCCCAGCTCCCAGTAGAGCAAAAGTATTTGGCTGGGATGCGGGAGGGAGCAAAAATGTGGACTCCCCAAGGATTAGGGTGACTGCTTTAAAATAATGTGTTTAGTGTAGGTTCACTTTCTGCTAGAACTTATCCTCCAGGTTCACTGCTGGTTCCAGCCAATTCCTGCATGGCTGATGCGTCACCTAGATGGGTCACATGACAGTGATACAAAGCTGAGGGGCATCTCTGCTAGCCAGTCGGCTGAGGTTCATGTTTGTCCTCATGATCCTCTACAGACAGGAGACAGCTGAACTCAGATGGTTTAATTCTTGGACAGAATGGCCCCCATTGGTCCATGCATGAAGATGTCGAATAACTAGATATTAAATATACTTAATAAGATTCGCAATTATGCTATGTGGCTTTGCTCCAATGGACATTCCTTCCAGTGTGTACCCCTGCCTTGTGAGCTATCCTTTCTGGCAGAGTCTCCAGACCCAACTCCACAACCCTGTAGCCTATAGGATAAACAGTTGAATGATGGATAGATAGATGTTTTTCTGCTGAGGCGAAAACAATATAATTGCATGAAATGATTATATTACTTTGAACAGTCTTGCACTACTTTGTAATGTTTCTAAAAATGACAATATTGTCTTGGTGGACAATTTAAATAGGCTGAGCAGATAATCCCTGTCAGGAAGGACACTATGAGCTACATCAGGCTTTACAAACTACTTTAAAACCGAAAGGCTCCCATGCTTGGCTAAAGAGTTCAGTTCTTCTTGTGCTTTGACTGGTTCGTTTCCTCGATTGAAAGATTCATCCAACTGATTCACATTAACATTAGTGACACATGCATGTTTACAGGAGACTGACCAATCGGCACGCAGCAGGAACTCAGTGCTTATGTGAAATCCAGGTCCTTTTTATTGGGATGATAGTTAACAAACCCTGTCCCAGCTCCCTGACAAGGTTTATCTTTTCACCCTAGTCTAAACAACTCCCAGAGGCACTGATAAAAAATCACCCAGAACTGAAATGATTTTCATACATGTCACATCTTTCGCAACAGCTGATCACACTTTATTTCGACAAAGGGGAGAAGAATTTTTGTGATGTGTACATTGTAATAAACAAATTAGGTTTTAGAGATGCCTGTTGTCCTCCAATAACCAGAAACGTGGCTCAAAATCATTTCACTTCGAATGACATTATTGTACATATTTTTTAACTGTTTTCACAATTAACCAACCCTTATGCTTAATATGGAGATATTTCCAGATGTCATTTAATGTAACACATGTCAAGAAAACAATTCATACAAAACTTGAAAGTGTAATACCATATTTGGAACACTGGGTCGTATTCTCTGTCTGTTTGTCTAATTTGTACAGGTGTTGAAGTATAAACAAAACCATCAGGCACTGTTGCTGCCGGTGATGTCATTAGGCCCCCATTTCCGTAGCATGGCACAGCCTGTAAAATGGGTTTTCCTTGCTCTCAGTTTTTCTCGAGCGTCATTCCCCCCTCATGTTCTGGTTTGCTTTGCAGGCGACTTGAGCTTTGGTCGTACGCATGTCTGAGGCATCATTCGAGTAGAAGTAAAAAGGAGCTTGCAGATGTCAATAGCTTAAGTGTGATGAAAAGGGAGACCTCTGACGTCTCTTCAAGTTTATCACGGATAATCCCCAAGTGGAGTGGCTTATTCCCCCCCCCCCCCATTTT